GCTATCACAAAGAAATTGCAGACCTTCGCGCTACGCTGGACCGCGCTCGACATACGATTGCGTATCTTCGCTCTAGAGCTAACGCTCTCGAGCTGTTCGATTCTGACACTGAGGACTACGAAGACAGCGATACCGACGACGACGATGATCCTGAACCATGGTTCATCGAAGATTATGCCGAACCCAAAAGAAACGTTGACGAGTGTGTCATAGATTTAGCTTCTGATACCGAATAATTCGGTCTAATCTTTGCCCTTTTCCTCTTAAATGGAATAAATTAGCTTTGCTCTCATCTTACTGTCTACTTTATTAATTAATTACTTATTTATTAATCTTTATTATTTTATTAAAGGATCGAGCGGGTTCCTATCTTAGCGGCCGGATTCTTCAAGCTATCGAAACACTTGCGCATACGCCGGTGTGTCACGTTTAACGTTAGGGGGCTGCAATGGTCATGTGAGTTCTCAGTGTCGACTACCAGTTCTAATTTTGCCTTCGACCCCATGGTCAGCCAAGAGGAATGGAGAGCTTTGGAAGCGAGGTACGCTACGCCACCGGCCTTAGAGGATCGTCCGGTCCGCGTACGCAGAGTCGCCAATAGGAGGCAAGCGCGGAGTCGGCTAAATCGCCGCCAAGTCGCCCGTGCGCTTCAAGCTGCCGCTGATTCGGCTGCGGACGTATCTGCTACTCAAGCTGAGCGAGCTGTGCTGGGTCGCCGGTACGCTTCGCCCCTACATTCGGAGAAGAGCCCTGTCAGGCGTCAGCACTTGCAGAACCGCTCTCGGGCTGAGCGTCGCGTCGACGTTGCTGCTGCACATCGAAGGGAGCGGCTAAACATCATTAATGTGAACCGGGAAGCTCTCCTCCCCGAGGCTCCTGATCCGTTCGATACTGAAATTGGCCGTCTAACAATCGAGCCACTTCAGCTGCACAATAATGCTGCAAATACCACCGTAGGTGTGGGGCCGTCTGAAACTCTACACATCCCCCAACCGGCAGGTGGTACCGGACGGGTCAGGCGACGTCGAACAAGGGCTGAGATTGAGGAATCTATGCGCGTAAATGAGCATGAAAACAGGGCGCCAAGCGGTGTGGAAGATTCGGAGTCTAAGCGCCGGCGTTTGGCGAGACTGAACCAACAGCGACTTCGTCTCAACAAGGCCTTGGCGGATCTGCGTACGCCCGAAGCTGAGGGAGAGACTGGCTCACTTGCTGCGGTCGCTGTACAGAGACTTACAAATATCGAGCGGCAGCGCACGCATCGTGCCAGCCTTTCAGATGAAGCTCGAGCAGCGGCAAGGGAACATAATTCAGAACTCCGTCGGGAAATCCGCGAGCACATTACGCAAGACGAAGCAGGTCATCTCTGTGAAATCGGTCGTCAACGTCACGCTGATACCCGTTTGGCTCAAGCCATTGAAGTGCAAGAGGTGGTGACGGAGGCGGCACGAATTCGTCGGAAATGTGTGCGCAGGGGGCATGCACTTTGTAACCACGACGTATTCGATAAATCTCGGGTCTCAGGGAAGAACGTTTCAGATGGCCAACATCGGCTTCCTGGGATCTATCCGTGTGGTTGGTGTGGGGCCTGGAAATGGCCAGGTGAATCTCAAATGTCGTGTTGCCTCGCAGGCAGAGTACGACTACGGGCTTTCAAGCGAGTGCCTCCTGTGTTTCTACAGTACTATGGGGATCGCGAGTTCAGGAAGTATATTCGGGCGTACAATCAAGTTTTTGCTTTTACCTCTATCGGGGTTACTCGCAGTGATTGCCGTGGGGTTCAAGGCGTTAGAGAAGATACTTCGGTGCAAGGACAGCGAGGGGTGTACACCTACAGAGTCCAAGGGTCTATGGGCCATTACTTGGGTTCTCTGTTACCTCGCATGGACCACAGATCCGGTCAGTTTTTTCCTGCTAAGTTTGCGCAGATCTACATCGTAGATGATGATTTAAGGCAAAGAACGTTGCGACGAAAGGGTATTTTCGCGGAGCTCGACCATGAGAAGCTGACGACTCTAGCGCTAATGATGGCCACGTACAACCCATTTGCCAAGCAATACCTCAACCACGGAGAGAAAATCCGAAGAGATATGGCAGAGGGAAACGACTACATCAACGTTGTGTACCATCTACATGCTGACAAGCGCAGAACGGGGACTACCAATCTACCTACTGTGAGCGAGGTTGGTGCCGTAATGGTCGAGGATGGAAACTTTAACAAGTATCGGGATCTACAGCTGTACATCAAGCCGCACGGACTCTTGCGTATTTTCGAGACCAACCCAATGTATGATCCGCTACAGTATCCCTTGCTATTCCCGATGGGAGAGCACGGCTGGACATTTACTGATACCTACGCCAACGGACAAAAGTATCGAGATAAAACAAAGATGTCTCTGCGAGAGTTTGTTGCGTATCGACTATTTCCGAAAGATGACGATGGGGCCGCTTTACACCACGGTGGTCGGCTCTTCCAGCAGTGGTGTGTCGACCAACGAGCGAAAGTGGAGCAGGAATTTTTGCGGTGGGTTTCCAATAACCAACAGACACTACAGGCGGATCTTTACACCGGCGTAGCAGACGCATATCTGGATGAGACTCCCTTGGTTTTAGGTGAGGGCGAGGGGCTAATTTCCGAGTACAATCGAGAAACTCGCCGTTTACAACCCCAAGGTCTACTCGCACTACAGAACAGCATTTCTTAGAGCGCGTTGGCAAGAAAATCATTCTCCCAGCGACATTCACTGGTGGGCCCAGGCAGATGTACAAGTCTTATCAGGACTCAATGGCGATTGTTCGCGAATACGGAAAACCGGATATATTTTTAACGATGACGTGTAATCCGGAATGGGAGGAAATTGTCAGCGGTATTCCTGGCGGCTATACCGCACAGGACCGTCCTGACTTAGTAGCCCGGGTTTGGCAGCTAAAACTCCGCGCCCTGTTGAAGGATTTGGACGAGGGAGTACTTGGTCGCGTCCAAGCTCGCATTTACGTTGTTGAATTCCAAAAGCGAGGTCTCCCTCACGCGCATATCTTGATCATTTTGGCGGACGAAGACAGATCACGGACACGAGATATCATCGACAAAATGGTCTCTGCAGAGATTCCCGACGAAGTCAGCAACCCAGATCTTTATAAGACAGTGATGACGTGCATGATGCATGGTCCATGTGGACACTTAAATCCCCAGTGCGCCTGTATGAAGGACGGCAAGTGCTCCAAAGATTTCCAAAACCTTTGGCGGAGATTACACGAGCAAATGTTGATGGGTATCCTGTCTACAGGCATCGCCGTCGGTCGGAGGGTGTGTTAAAATTTCGAGGTCGGGAGTATGACAATGCGACGGCAAACCAATGAGTTGTACCTTACAATCCGTACTTCTCGCAGAAGTACAACTGTCATATCAACGTGGAGATTTGTACGGCTATCACGGCTGTGAAGTATCTATACAAATATGTGTACAAGGGTTCTGATAAGGCAGTACTCACGGTTGAAGCCGTGAGGGGGGATGGTGAGCAGATGGGCAGACCACGCGACGAGCCAAATGAGGTGTTGCGGTATCTCAATGCACGGTACATATCTCCTGTTGAAGCTTGCATGCGGCTTCTTGACTTTACCGTTCAAGGAAAGAGTCATTCCGTCGAGCAGCTCACAGTGCATCTGGAACAGAGGCAGATGATTGCCTTTCGGACTAGCGACCGACCTGAGACCGCTCTCGCGAATGGCAAGCACACGATGCTTACTCGCTTCTTCGATTTGTGTGCCAGCGAGGCCCCGGAAAATCAAATCGCAAAAACAATGCTTTACCAGGAGGTACCGAAAAAATTCAGTTGGAAGGATAAGCAATGGACCCGTCGTACCAAATTTCAAGGATCGCTCGGAAGACTGATTCACGTGTCGATACGGGATGCTGAGCGGTTTTTTCTTCGCGTGATGCTGTGTCATCGCAGAGGTCCAGCCTCATGTTTTACTTTTAAAATTAAATTGTTTTCATGATGTAACGAAGTAAAATGTAAAAAAATGTGTTTACATGTCAAAAATTCGTCGGAAAACGATATTGCTTGTGTAGACTCCATCTTCCTCCTCCTGTTCCGGATATTCAATGAGGGCTTGAAAATTCGAGCGTGATGTAACCCTTGATAGGGCGACGTACAGCTGGCCATGTGAGAAACACGGTGTAGCAAGATATAGCCCTAGATTCATAAGGGTTTGACCTTGGGCCTTGTTGATAGTCATTGCAAACGCTGGCTGTACAAGGAACTGCTTTCGACGTAGGCGAAACGGAAACTCTCGAGTATCATCGTCGCTGACAAAAATAATCCGCGGAATTAGAACATGCTGACCCCGCCGCTCCCCCGTCATGATTATTGCGTGAATGACGTGTGGCTTTAGGTCAACGATCCTCAGGCGCGTACCGTTACAAAGCCCCAAATCCGGGTTCAGATTTCTCATCATCATGACGGGAATGCCTTTCTTGAGTATGAGCCTGTGGGGCGGGATTCCGTTAATTTTGACGGAATGAAGAAACTCTTGTTCGAAGACACTTCCGTCATCGTCTTCGACGGAGTCAGCAGATAGGTATTCATGAGCGGTCGTTTGAAGTCGACCCGAAACCGCCTCGTTGATGCGGTGGGCCAATGCGTTAGCTGTCGTCAAGATTGTACGGTGGCGAAGTACTCGTCTGTAGCGACATCAGGATCGTTCACATCAGCATACATGAAATCAATCATTGTGGCCATTCCTTTTGGAATTGTACCAGGCGCAATGTCAGCATCTTCATCGAAGCGGAGGCGGAAAAAAACAAAAGGGTGATTTAACAAAACCTACCGCCGCGTAGCGGCGGCGCTCGGCTAGTGCTAAATTCAAAAACACTCCCAATCAGTATGTATCGTCTGCGGTATACAGTATAGTTTGGAGGTTGCAATAGCCTCGTGCTGCATATAGGATATAGCTACACAAAATCGTCATCATTTCATCTTACGTGGCATCGACCGTGCCTACAAGTGGTAATCGATGCCCGTGTACTCCTCCGTGTCCTGGCCGACAGACTGTGAGTTTTCCGTGCTACGCTGTCGCAGGTTTGAGGACGAGCGGCTGTTCGCGTAATGGGAATCCATGGGGTTAATTGCTACGAGCTCCGAGGACGCCAGTGATCGGATCGACTGGATGTTGAATTGCTGGTCCACTTGCTGCGTGTCCACATCCATGTGCGAGTTCTGCTGTGTAAATAGATCCAGATTAGCGTTGTCCCCGCTCACGAGGTCTTCTACGCCCAGGATATCCGCCATCTTGAGCTGGAAACGTGCCTGGTATAGCTTCGGAGGGATAGCGGACAATCCGTCCCCGTCCACACCCTTGAACGCGATCTTGAAGAAGCGCTCCATACGCTTCTGGAAGGTCCATGTCTGCAGAATATCAATCACACCAAGATGGTAGTACGCAGGACCCACAACCGTGTTGGCCATGCGCATGCCAGAGCGAGGTAGACGCCGACCAGACGAAGAGGTATTACTTTCGGTGCGGCCATTGCGACTGCGGATTTTGGAGTATTCGCGCGGCTTTGATACTTTTCGATGCATTACTGGCTCACCCATTGTCGGTCGAGCGTTATACGATCCCACGTTTGAGGATACGCTGGCGTGGTGCCGATTCTTCAAAGATGGGTTCTGAACGGGCGGAGGACCCTTCGATCTCGCTAAATTCTGAGCTCCACCACTGCGTGGGTCCATCATCGAGTTCTCCGTAAACGGATTGTATACAGAAGATCGCTGTTGGCTGTTTGCCTTTGCTGGGCCATGTGCACTGGACTGGATGGGCGTGTTGGTTGCATCAGCTTCGTCGTCCGTGCTATTGCCTTCATCCACCACATATTCCACTTCGTTAATGCCCATAAGCAGCGAATAATCCATGATACCAAAAGAGCAGAGCATCTGCGAGTCAGCCGAGAGCTGCTGGTACAGTTCAAGCGCCACATCGCGGTCAAGATTAAGCTTCTGTGTCAGATCTGAGTCTTTCAGCACCACATTCGGCTCGTGGCCGCCAAGGCGAACTGTGCAGTTGGCATTCTCTGGGGCCGAGTTCTGGTAGACGTACTTGCGGTTGCAGTGACGACACGTCACCTTCTTGCCACGTTTGGGAAGATCACCGTGACGGTTCACCCACGATCCCTTGATATCGTAGCGAGAGTGGATCACTTGATCTGTATCGAACAGATTAGCCATGACCACGAACGAGAACTGCTTGCCGTACAGCTCGAGGCAGTGGCAGCCGTAAAAGCGCAGAAGCAGAGAACGAGGATTGTTGCACAGATAGTCGGCGTAGTCTTGAGCGATACTGCGCAGGAACGAGCACTCCTCTTTACTGGTACTCTTGACGATAAGAGAGCCATCAGCCGAGAAAAACATGAAAGCCCCACTCGCACCTTCACTCAGACGCTCCTTCGCCGTGGCCGACAGCGCCTGCAGATACGCTTCATTGTTGACACCGAACCGCTCACGAATCTTCTTGAAGGCGTGAGGCTCGTAGTCGTGGAACGTTTTGGTTCGTGGCGAGTTCTTGGCCACACGCATGTTCTCATCGAAAGCACCAGCACCGTTGGTGCCTACACGCTCCACGGCGTTTGACTGTTGCTGGCGATACGCAGCATAAGCTGCGGACGGGTGCGCAGCGCTTCCACTTTCGGTAACTGGAACTGCAGTGAATGCCGCGCCGGTCGTGACGTTTGTCGCCTTGGTCTGTGGAAGTAGAGCCAGATGCTGGATACGCTGCGACGCCGGAAGACGCTCGGCTGCCTGCACCGCCTGAATGATACCTGACGTCGTGTAGAACAGCACTTCGCGACGTAGAGCTGCGTTCACCTGCGGGTTCAGATCCACGTCGATATCGCCTGTATTCTCGCCAAGACAGCGCGTAAAATGCGCCACATGGAAGTCATTCAGCGCGAACCAGATGACCAAGTCGAGATATCCTTTGCCAGCAATGAGAAAGTTCAACAGCTCACTCGACTTGTCAGGATCGGCGCGGTCTCGGGACAAGAACTTGATGTACACAATGACCACGATGATCCAGTAGAACGTCACGGCAAACACGTTGAATCTGGCGCGGTTGATGCTCTGCACTCGCACGGCGTAGGTCTCTGGCATGCCTTCGCTCAATCTCTTCCACGCCCAGACCCAGACAGCAATGCCGAAGATGATAAATAGCCCCATCCAGACGTAGAAGAAGAGCCAGCTGATGATGTTGGCGTTCACGGCCTTGTAGTCACTCGAGAAATTGTCCGTCACTTCGTACCCAGGCCCACACCCGGCCATGTTGTCGGCTGGTAAGTTCTTTAAAGCGTTGGTCCAGCACACACCCAAGTCCGAGTATCCAGCCCAGTCGTCTGTGTTCATTAGTAAAAGACCCAGCACCAGTGGGATAAACCACGAGCCCAAGTGGAACATCCGCGTGTTCCTCTTAAAGTCCGTGAAAGGGTTGGTGAGACTCATGAGAAGGTTGGCTGTCATGCAGAAGAACCAGCATTCAGAGGCCAGCAAGGTGAACTCGAAGAGACCAGCGAACACTTCGCACGTAGACCCAGCGCCGCTGTCTGTGCTGCAGCCACACTGCAGGTTTGTACTGCTACAGAGCGGCACACAGTCGAAGAAGAGACACCGAACGAACTGTTGCGCCATTAGCTGCATCACGAAGACGGCGTCGGCGATTGTACGCCAGAACACAAGCGGGTTTGGATGCTGGCGGTAGCTGGGCACACTGGCGTACGATAAGATGACGAAAAAGACGGAGAAAATCGAGAGTACGCCGCCCCAGATGAGTCCTGGGCTCAGATTCTCGTAGGTGCTGGCCATAGCCAGCACGAGAGCTATGACGAAGGCGAAGAACATGACGAGCTGGAACCATCGGGTAGTGGACTGCATACACGTGCGCAGAGCGGCGGGAGGCGCGTTACCCTCCTCTTGGAGCATGTTGACGTCTGGGTCCGAGACCGTGGAGGAAGACACGCCGAGAGACTGCGACGAGGACGTGTGCACGTGTCTCGCGTCGTCCATTATGGCGCGAGGGGACTGGAGCAGAGGCACGGGTGGAGACACGCTGCTGCGGCGGTGCGAGGCGGCCGTCGTGCTTTTCCTCTGCTGGGGACGTCGGTCCGCGCACTCAAGAATGCGGACCAAGGTGGAGAGTGTATGCGGTTCGGACATGAACGGAAATGTACGGTACAATCAACTCTGGCTTCTAGGGATAGGGATTGACAGTTTTGTGACCTTGGAGATGAACGCAAGCGGTGTAGCATTGTTCTGAGACGTCGGCATCAACTCCTCACATAGATAACTTTCCTAGGTTACGGCTGCAGTGCTTCTCCGCAAAAACACGATAAGTACCTAGTGGTTTGTTTGTATTAGCTGTGAGAGCGCATTTGCTGTTCTACAAAGCGTAATGCTAAACCTAAATACCGGTAATTTAAAATGTTAATATTTTTTTAATATTAATTTACTTTTAAAAAATCAAATTGCTTGAGAGCAAAAATCCAGTCACTTGAAGCAAAATTGTTGTCGCGCGATAAATTCCTGCGAGATCTAAGTGTAGCCATCTTGAGTGACGCGACGATGCGAACATCTGATCCCTTGCTCCTCCTGCTGGTGCTGCTCACGACAGTGCCGTCGGTAGAGCCATTTTCAAGTGCCTCAGCGCACAAAGGTGCCAATCCGTCCTGCTCGGCCCCAATTCGGACGCAATTGGACCCTGCGCCGCTCTCATCGCACGACCAGGATCTGCTCAAGCTCCTGCTGCCCCAGCCGACTGTACGTGCGCCTTCAACAGGGCGACGCTTCTTGTCAATTGAGAAGTGACTCACAGATGCAATAACCCAGAGCGACCAGCCCGCTGTCCGAGGTGAGCTCCGAGCTCCGCTCCACATTCCGTGCCAGCTCGCGACGTTTCCCCATCTTCAAGTGTTTGTTGACGAGATCCAACGACATCAACTGTCCGGCTTTGAGGTTCGAGTGTATTATAAAACAACGTCTTTGGTGGTCATCGTTGTTGCTGTTGTTGTTGTTGCAGATTAAGGAATACGCGCAGCCGCCTCACTTGATCTTCTTCGACGAGAACCAACAAGTCGTGGAAACCATTGTAGTGGAACCGACGTGGACGGGATTCGAGCTCCGGGATCTCATTCAGGAGAGCATCCTTGTACGTAGTGGTAGTACGAATGAACAAAATTGAGTAGCATGAAAACATCAGTCGCTAAAAAACACCACTATGGAAACCATCATATTGCTTAAAAACATTTCGTTCCCAAAGAACACCATTGGCTGAGCTGATGACGGGGCTTGTGCATTTTAACAAGGACGCGGGAACGACTTCAGCTCGCGAAGGAGGCCAACTCAGCAGTCATTTCTGATATTTACGTTGAAGAAGCTAAATGCCATTCTTTCAGCCGCTAAGTAGACCTGGGGGCGCGTGGATAGGCGTCGTGGGCATAACCTGGATAGTGCAGTAAGCTCTAGTCTAGCTCACAAAGGGATATTATGTATTCATGGCTCTACACCGAGCAATAAATTTGACTACTCTCGATTGACTCTGAAGAATTCACGATGGATGGTTTGAGGCTCAAACTTTAAGCTGCAGAAAAAAGATCTTCAATTTGTTTCGATTTTAACAGACAGTCCCCTATGCTGACGTACATGGAATTCGTGCTGCGCCGATATCCAGAGGTGGAGAGCTTCGAGCACAGCACTAAAGCAATATCCCGGTTCCTGGGTCCGCCACCAAGTCTCTCGCTTGCTGAAGTTTGTGGTAGCGGAACACTTGCAATGCTTGATTGGATTTGGAGCGCTAGTTGCACTCAAGTTGAGGACAGAACCCAAGGATGGTCTCTGACTAATTACCTTCGATCGGACCCGCACTATCACCAGTGGGAATTCGTACAGTCACTGTCTGCTGCAGCTGAACGAGGTGACCTATCGATAGTAAAGTGGATTTTCGCCCATTTCTCGAATTGCGAAGCACCTGCGGAGGAAGTCAGAGCTGCTGGGCTACAGGGATATCTCCACGTGCTAGCGTTTCTTTGGGAGCATCGATCTGGCAACGATAGAGCGAGCAGATCTGGCCAGGCAACAATATCAGCAGAGAACGTTCCACAGAAATGTACCGTAAATTTCGGTGATGGTCTTGGTGGTCTTTGCTGGGGACACACAGTTATATCAAAAGCTATCGAGAATGGGCTACTTGCTCAGTGTGTTGAAGAAGGAATGGAGCTCAATTCGTACGATCGAGTGATTGCAATTAAACACGCTCTGCAATTGGGAGATGTGGAGCTGGCTCGGCGATTGCTTCCTGTAGGTAGGTGCATTATTAATTACGCTGCGGACGTTGGGCGACCTGAAATGATTCAAATATTGCTTGATAGAGGACTGCTGCAGTGGGACGAGAAGCGCTCAGCAACTGCATTTGGTCATTTAGGTGGGTATGGAAACTCGGAGCTCATGCAGCAGATTTTGCAACTTCACTCGCCACTTCGACAAGACATCGATCCTTGGAAAAAAGCTTGGAGTCGCGCCCTGGAAGCGGCGTGTTCTAAGGGCGATTTGTGTGTGCTGCGGTGGCTGGTAGAGCACCCGCTGATAAAAGATACAAGTGCTGAATCGCGAAATTATAATAGTCAAAAGATATTGTACATGGCTGCCAAGGACGGCCATGTCAGAGTGATGCAGTACCTGTACGACCAAGGGCTGGCTACCGATATAATTCACTTTTGTCATGCAGGGGAGTTTGTTCTGGACTCCGTGGCATTAAACTCAGTGAAATGGTTAGCAGAAAATGATATGATCGGCGATCAGCATAGATATAGCTGTGCTATTGCCCAGGCAGCGCTGGCTGGCCGCTTGGACATTCTGCAGCTTTTTCAGACTTTAGATACTGCAGGTGGTTATGAAGCTGTTGGGCTTAAGAGGAGACGAACCGATCAGACGTTTTCGTTGTGGGGTGGATATAGAGATACGTTCTACTGGGCGGCGCGAGGTGGTCATGTGCACGTGCTAGAATGGCTTCAAAAAAATTATCCGGCCAAGTGTGGACAAGATGCGATGGACGCTGCGATATCTTATGGACATATAGAAGCGGTAAAATGGCTACATGCGAACCGGACCGAGGGGTGTACGTCAGGTGCGATGTACTCTTCCGCTTGCAATGGTCATTTCGAGATGGTGAAATGGCTGTATTTGAACCGCCCCGAGTCTCATACACCAGAGGCCATGGTGAAAGCCAATACGAAACGGTCATTTACGAATTGCGTATTGGCTTGCCAGGAAGTATCCGAAGTACAGGATCAGTAGATACTGGTTTGAAGTAGACGACAGGAGACTTATCTCCAGCCGCAACTCGTTGGAGATGCTTCTCTTTCTTCGAGCGGTCTACCCCTACGTTTTTACTGCAAAGTACATCCGAATGCTTCGAAAGGATTTTAGTGACGATGCGGTTGTGAATTGGCTGAATGACAACTTTCCCTGTGAGGAAGAAATCGAGCCATGACGTTATTTATTTGGATTAAGCGCCGGCTGATTATTTTTTTTGAAGTGGACGCCTTCTAAATCTATCGTAAGGCAGCCGCTCCTCTAAATTTTCGAAACCATACATACTGCAACTACAAAATAATATTTTGTCTTCAGAATATTTACCTTTTTTTGTTTTGGAACTGGTGCATATGCAAGTGGTCAAGCTCGAGAACGAGATCACCGAGGTGTAGCTCGTATGCTACGCGGAATCGCTTAACATTATCGTCTAAGGTGTGCAGCTTCAGCAGGAGACGAGCATGAAAGCTTAAGGAACGCTTCGGAATTTCTACAGCCGCACGACGCTACACAACCGTGCTGCGCTAGTACGCCGACTGCACGAGTTCAAGTTGAAAAGTAGCTTGACGACGGCTAAACATCTGGATGCGTTGAACGAACTGATCATCAGTATTTAAACGATAGGATAGTCGTCGGACAGCTAAGTTTTCTTCTCAGTAGACTGCCCGCAAAGTACGAGCCCGTCGCTTCACTCTTTAAGCGCTAACGCAGTGGCGCTTATTGAGGTAATGTAGAAGCTGCTCGAGGGCACGAGCGACACCAAGAAAAATGAGGCCACGGAGAACAGATTCCAAGCGATCTGGATCGCCTGGCGTTTTGCGGCGGTCACAACAATTCTCACAAGAGGGTATTTTCGCCACCAGACAGCACGTTTCAAGACATGTGCTTCAGCTTTGATCACGCGGGTCACATGATGCAAGACAGCCCCAACGGGAACGGCGACTGAAAGAGAGATGCAGCATTTGTAGCGGGTAAGGAGCGCTCGGCCGGGTGGATGATCGACCGTGGTGCGACGTTGCACATGACCCTCAAATTAAATACTTGTCCGAGTACAAGGGCCTGATCGGGAGACGACAAAAATCGCGCGTCGAAGGAGCAGGATAGATTTAGCTGGCTCGTCTGAGCCGAAGACGCATTTTTATGGTCGATGAACTGTACGTTCCAGGACTCGATAGATGGTTGCTACAAGCAATGAAGCTCCCAGAACATGACTTGCGCGTGGAGTCTTAGCAATCCACTTGCGTGATTTCGAGGGACAGCTGTGCGACGGCCTCAAGCACGTTCTTGTTGGACTATCAGCAGGAAGAGAAACGATTCGTGCAGAGCGCCGGGGCGGAAAACGAGTGGGGACTCGCTTGGAGCACCCCAACAATGATGCGCTGGCTAAGACACAGCGTTCCTCGACCGGTATCCCGCCGGTGAAGAATGGGAGTTGTACTTAATGCGGTGGATATATGTAGCGGAAGATGACGGTGACATCGTTACCGTCAAGATCAATGACGAAGACGACGCGTGTGCTGGAACTCGTTCACATGGACGACATGGAACCCATGAGAACGCTTTCGAAGGGTGATGCCAAATATGTGCTGACGTATCCTGACGACTACGCGATGCAGACAAGTATGGTGTGCGTGCAAATCCTAGGAAGGCCACGTCTATTTGTTCCTGGTCAACGCCAACGAGCCGCACTGTGTTGCGTTAGTGGCTTGGTATAGCCAATTCATTGCACAAGTATACGAAAAACTTCGCTGGGTTGAATCAGCCGTTGTCGTTGCTAGTGAATAAGGATGTGGAAGCCGGTGTACCAAGACTCGGTAAAAAAATCGCTTGGCGTCAGCCTCGATCTTGAAGCTTGCTAACAATTCGAAGCCATTTCACGTCGTCTGCGACGCGAGCTATTTTGCCATCGGCTGTGCGCTGATGCAGTTTGATGATGACGAACGCGAACGCGTTATCAACTGTCGCAACAACTGAAGGTGGCCGAGCAGAACTACTCAGTCCGCAACCAGGAGCCCCTGGTGATGCGATATGCTTTGATCAAATTCATATTATATTTTCTCGGCGAGCAGCTTACACTGATCACGCATCGCCGCGGACAGTGATGGAGCGTCCTCACTTGTCGCGACGGACGGCCCGTTGGCTGTCCTTCTTTTCCGAGTACAGCTTTGTCGTCCACTACAAACTCGGTAATAATGACATTCCCACCGACGCGCTGTCTTGGCGTCCGGACTAGGATCCCCGAGAGGCACTAAGTCATCAGGCGATTGATGAGGATGATGACGAGTGTGCAGTCTGCGTGTCGTCGGGTATCAGTCAGAAGCTAACACCCGTTCCAACGCTCCCGCTGGGTGACGAGATCGCAACAACATACGATGACGACCCCTTCTACGATGCCAAATTGAAGCATATAGATGCTTCCAGTTGCGACGCACTGGGTGTCCTATCAAGAACCAAGCGTAATAAGATCGATAGGTATCGACTGGACGGCAATCTGCTGAAGTACAGCATCGACAGGCTCGATGGACCTCGAGTTGGCGTCCCAAATGGCCCTGATCTCCGTGCGCGCATCATTCACGAGTAATATTCCGCTCCGACCCAAAATCATCTCGGTCGCGAGAAGACATACGCGAACCTGCCGAAACGTTTATTGGTCCCATATGTACAAGTGGGTATGCAAGTAGATCTGCACATGCGAACAATGCCAAAGAGCCAAACCAATGTCATAACCCTGGCCCCACTGCGCCTCCTCAAGGTCGCCACGGAAGGACTTCATGTTCGGTCCTCCACCCGACACATCCAGTCGAGGGGTAGTTTGTGTTTATCGGTCGCTTCACCATAATGATCTATCTCGTTCCAGTGGCTGCCTTTATCACCGCGGAAGCATTTGCGGCACGCTTCGTACATGTGGTATTTCGTCGTCATGGCCTTCCGGGGTCTATCGTATCCGACCGCGACCCGCGCTCTACATCCGCGTTCTGGTCGCGCCTCTTCAATCTATTGGGAACTGAGTTACTGATGTCAACAGTGGCGAATCAGGGGACGGATGGGCAGACTGAAAGCGTTGACCGAGTCCTTGAAGACGTCATTCGCAGCTATGCG